GCTGCCGGCGCCGGTCACACACGTGCTTTCCGTCGTGAGGAGGGGGCAGCGTGGCTCCCTGCGGAGCTAGGGAGCGGGGAGAGCCGTTCCTCAACGCGGGCTGAGCCGTGCGGGAAAGTTACCGGGGGAGCGGTGAGAGCGCTGCACTGCCTCGGCCACTTCCCGCTGCCGCTCATTCATCTCCCGGCGCGGTCGGTAAACAGTCCTCCAGGAACCGAGACCCTCGTCAAACTTTGTCGAGGGGAAGTTACGACTGGAAAATATCTGCCAAACGGCGACTTTGAAGGGTATTTTTTGTTTGTAAGCGTTCTTTCAAACCTTCTCGTTTTCTAGAAGGCGGCGTGTTCCTAGGTATCTTATTTGTATTGGCATTTCAGTCCTCTACATTTTTTAACGTTCCTTCAAACGTGTTGGTCTTAGCAGGTGTGGCTTACAGCTTTTTGATTTGTTATTAATCTGTTGTGACCGACTTACAATTTAAGTCGACGTGTAAAACAGCGTAGGGGAATGTGAGCTGTTATTTCTGAGTGCTGTCTCGTCAAACTTTTCTGCGCTTCAGCCGTAGTACATCCTGGAAGTAGCTGAAGCTTTAAGGCCTGGTAACCCTTACGACATTTAATAGAAAACCTGTGTACTTCTAAAGCAAATGCCTAGAAAAGGTCTTAAATAAAACCTGCAGGTGACTTGTCAGACTTGAGAATGAAGGGATTTTGATACATTTTCATTTTTTTTTCAGAAAAAGAGCAACAGGAAGCAATTGAACACATTGATGAAGTACAGAATGAAATAGACAGGTAAACACTTACAAACTCCAAATGTTTTAGCAGAAATTAAAATATAACTGACAAAAGTAGTATTTAGTAAAGTAAGCACTCAGTGGTAGTTCTTGCTGTCTTTAAACTCTGCCAAGATGTTCTTGTGGTCTGGCTTGATTAGATGTAAGAGGTATTTGGGTATTATGAAACATTTGAAGAAGTATCCTGGTTTCTTGTTTAATTGTGAGTAATTCAAAAGGTAGAACTTGAGTTCAAAATTTTAAGTCAGTTGTGACAGTTTTGATAATAGAAATGTATGTATTACTGGTTTTTTTCAAGTTAATGTGTATGCTATTTTGTGAAAGTGTTTTTGTGTTTGTAAGCAGAACTAAAAAGTTGGTGGACAAGTTAGCTTTAATTATGTATATATTTTTAATTCCATATTCATATGCTTGTAGAATAATATGTAGAAAGTGTCACTGAAACATTGGTTTCATATCCCAAAACTCTGTGGGCTCTATTTGGTATTTGCCTGGATTTTATCTCCATGCACACTGTCCTACAAAGACTGCAGGTGACTATTGAGGCTTTTGCTGTGTGAAGCTATTGCAGCATCAGGGCTCTGCTTTTTTATGAAACCAAGTGTTACGTTGTAAGATTTTATTTGTGTGGGGTATAAAATTGCTTTCTTTCCTGCCCAGAAGTTATAAAGAGCAGCTGACAGCGTGTTACCCATCTTCAGGTCTTTTGCAAACAAAATGTTTAAGAGGCAAATACAACCTTGCTTTGCATAAATAAGGGTCTGTCCCTTATGTAATGCTGCAAAACATATAATGTGTTAAGAATGTTTCATTAAGATCAGTGAGATTGCTTCTGGGAGCGTGTTTCTTAACAGTCATTACAGGCTTGGGCCTCAGTTTTTTTGTCTGAGATACCGCATTTGTTGAAAATGGCAGGCTAGTCTAATCAAACCCTTTTCAGTTTTTAGCTAATTACTGGTAATGTGTCTTTAAGTTTCAGTTCTCTCTTCTGTGGATAATGTGGCTCTTTCTATTACAGACTGAATGAACAAGCCAGTGAGGAAATTTTGAAAGTAGAACAGAAATACAACAAACTCCGCCAGCCATTCTTCCAGAAGAGGTCAGAATTGATCGCCAAAATCCCAAATTTCTGGGTAACAACATTTGTCAACCACCCACAAGGTATATTCTTAATAGCCCTCTTGTTTCTGTAGATTCAGCGTTTGGTTGCTTGTTATTTAAGTGTCTTGCAGCTCTGAGGGTTTTCCAGAATTGTTGCTGGGCATATGTTTAAACAGCAGCCTGCTTCGTCTGCAAACACGTCCTTTTTGTCCTAGCATGCATCTTACAAGCTTTTGATTTCTTGCATTTATTGACCAAAGAAACATCTTGTTCACTGAAATCCTGTATTGGTTTTCTTTCTGCATTTTAAATGACAACTTTCCCACTTTCCTTAGTTAACTGGGCCCTTTAAATAAAAAAAAAAACTTATTCTAGTTTGTTTGGGTTTGTTTGTTGTTTTTTTAATGGGAGGTGAGCTCCATAGACTTTCTGACAATGTTGTGGACTGCTTTGCTGGGCGAACTACATGTGTGAAAATGTTTCACAGAGGAGGAGATGTGCATATAGATTCTGCTGCTTTTAACACTGAACTACAACAGGCAAATGATACATTTTCACCTCAGCAAATGTAAAGCATGTAAATGCTAATAGGCTGTTGGCTGGGAACTTGAAAAAAATGGGCCACAAGAAGTTAGCTTGGGCAGATATGTTGCTTTTCAGATCTTTTTTACTGTGTTTCCTGTATTTCACCTGCATGATACACATTTTGTAGCTTTGTTAATGTGGGATTCCTAATTCTGTCTCAGTATCTGCACTGCTGGGAGAAGAAGATGAGGAAGCACTGCATTATTTGACCAGAGTTGAGGTGACAGAATTTGAAGACATCAAATCAGGTTACAGAATAGATTTTGTAAGTATTTTAAATAATTCATTCACTTGGAATATTTTTTAATGGAATTGTGTATTGGGTTGTAGTTTGTGACTTAGTCTCTTCAGTTACCCATTTCATACCAGGTTTGACTTGGCAGGTGTCTTTACATTTTGTGGGTTCTAACTCTTTGCTTTCAACTCTGCAGTATTTTGATGAGAATCCATACTTTGAAAATAAAGTTCTCTCCAAAGAGTTTCACCTCAATGAAAGTGGAGACCCATCTTCAAAATCAACCGAGATAAAATGGAAATCTGGGAAGGTATGTATCTGCATCTGGGAGGGAGAATTGCACTTGAATTGTGTGCCTTTTTCTTTTGTATTGAAGCTTCCTTGTCCTCCCTTTTCTTGCCCTCTCAACCCCCTTGCCACTTCTCTACATACACAGCTCTTGCCTGTCTTGTAGGGTTTGGAATACTGCATTTACATGGAGATCTGTAGTGAATTCTCTTGCTCAGTTGAGCACTGCCATTAAAACGGTGAAAGTAAAAGTATGATCAGATGGAGAGATGAACAGGTGCACTAGCTTGTCTCTCTTGGTAGTGAATCTAGGCTCTGTGTTTTGATATTTTCGTAAGATAACTATTAAATAAGGAGTTCCAAGGACAGCAGGTTTTTGGGGGGTCAGATAGGGGTGTGTGAATTCTCTTTTCCTCTTTATTTTCCTCAGTTTCTGCATCTTCGTAGAAGTTGGGGCTACACGATGATGTGGGCCTGTCTTTTATCCCAATAGTATCCAAACATCATTAATCTGCTGTAGTTGGTTTCTGTAAAAGTTGGGAGCACTTTCATGTTGTCCTGAAGATTTTGAAATTAGCACTTAAAAGTGGAACTGAAGGTTCAATAGCTGCCTGTTTTGTCACCTTCAGTCCAAGAATATTATTGAATCTTTTTTTCATGGAGAAATAAGGCTTTCTGTTTGTATTAGAAGTTACAGTCTTGTACAAACTAGTTGAATGATCTTTACAACATACCACAAAATTGAAGTGAATTCTGGTATTGTTCTTCACTAAACAGTCTAAGCCTTTAAATATTGTGATTCTATCAAGAAAACAAACACTAGAAGTTTGGAATTACCGTATGATCAGAGAAAGAATGGATTTAAATACTAGATAGTAATTTTCTTTTCAGACTTGGCAAACAGGCTGTTGCAAACTTATTAATCTTGTGGAATAAGGTGGTAAATGCAGAACTTGTGTATGTTCTTGTGACCACAGGCTTTAGTGGTTTGTGTGGGGTTTTTTTTCACTTGCTACAAAGAATGGCGTGGAGACTTCAAAGCAGGAAGTCTTAGGATGAGGCTAGGCAGCTCTTTATCTCAGCTTAAATAAAGACAGAGCTTAGAGGTGTGGAGACGAGTGTTTCTTAAATTGTGTGTATGCAGTATTTGTAGCATTGAGCAACAATTACAGCTACTCTGAGTAGCGTTTAGCCATTGTGAGATCTTCTAAGTTCTGTATATCGTTACACAGTTGTAATACTTGTACTTCTGTGTGATAGGGAAGCATAAATCAAATGCAAGATCCTGTGAATTTTCAGTATTTCATTGGAGGTCATTAAAAGAAACAGGTGGTTTTACTGTTTTTTCACATTCCTGAGAAATGCAGTATCTTTTTCCGTGAGTCGTTCGGGTTCTAAATGTTTCTTAAAGACTTCTCCCTGAAAGAAGGAGTACTAAGTGTCTTCTTGTGGTGGTTTAGACAAACGTTTCTAAATGGTGCTTATTTTAAAAAAAAAAGTCTACATGAAGATCACTTCTTTAGGGAACTTCTTTACTTTCCTTTCAGGATCTGACAAAACGTTCAAGCCAGACACAGAACAAAGCCAGTAGGAAGAGGCAGCATGAAGAGCCAGAAAGCTTCTTTACCTGGTTCACTGATCACTCTGATGCAGGGGCTGATGAACTAGGAGAAGTCATCAAGGATGACATCTGGCCGAATCCATTACAGTACTACTTGGTAAGTACAGCACCGAGTTGTTGATCCACACCCATAACAGCACTGTGCAAGTGAAAGGGAATTTGATCACTATAGTTAATGTTACATGTGTGTCTTTAAGGTTCCTGATATGGATGATGAAGAAGGGGAGGGAGAGGAGGATGATGATGATGACGAAGAGGAAGAAGGATTGGAGGATATTGATGAAGAAGGAGATGAAGATGAGGGGGAGGAAGATGAAGATGATGATGAGGGAGAGGAAGGAGAGGTGAGTAATCTTACCCCTTCCATCTCTGGTAGAATCAAAAGAAATTTCTAAGAGGGATCTTGTAAGATTACTGAGCCATTGTTACAGAGGTAAAATAGTTCTTTTCTGTACGGTCACTGACAAAGTGTTTGGAGGGGAGCGGCAGAACTGTTACTATCCTGACTTGCAGAGTGGTTTCAGTGTAGTAATAAGTACATTTGTGTATATAAGAGACAGTGCAAATAAGTAGTTTTAGTAAATTTGTAAGGGAGGTGCTCTAGAATAACTAGGATATTAGCATAACAAAATTCTTATTTAATAGTGAACATTCTAGCAAGGCTTCACTTGTAAATAGTGTTTGTTGATGCATCCAGTTCTGTCATCCTCCCAGCTGTTGGTTCATTTCTGCTTATGGCTGGCTTAGCTGAGACTCTCTGGGTTCAGGAACTGGACATCTCCTTTAGCAAGTGGGATTCCAGGGAGAGCATTCAGGATGTTGGTAACAAAGTTTAGGATGTCTTTGTTTCTGGTGATTGGGTGTGGTGTATCTGAACTACTTGTGTTGAGATAGGAGGGCTGTTGTGGGCACTAGAGTACTTATGTAACCTAGAATTTAGGATCTGAAAGTTGAAGCATTTTGCTCTTCAGTTTAAAATGAGTGGAGAAAAACATCCCTTCACACTCTAAATGTTAAATTTGTGTCAGTGTTTGTGGTGATTCCAAGTAATGGTCATTTTACAAACCTGATGTCCAGTTATTAACTGATCTCTAAGTAGCTGGGTGCTCGAGGCAAGTGTTATTACTCTTAAGAGAGCATCATACAACATGCTGTGAGTAACACTGCAGGGCTGTAGTCTGTAGGGTATTAAAACAATTCTGGTTATTGCATTTGAAAGTTTGTGCTATCTGAAGTTTAGTGATTAGATTGTTTTAATTCTTGCTTATCTTTCAACAGGAGGATGAAGGAGAAGATGACTAATTGAACACTGATGGATTCCAAACCCCCTTTTTACCTTTTTAATTTTTCTCCAGTCCCTGGGAGCAAGTTGCTGTCTTTTTTTTCTTGTGCTCAGTCGCCTTGTTCTCTTGAGGTCTCTTTTTCTCTCCTCTACACCATGGTTCACAATTTATTTTGGGGGAAATACCTTGAGCAGAATATAGTGGAAAAGAATCTACCAGTTTCTGTTTCAAGTTCATTTTTATCCCTTTCTGTCTCAAAACAAAAACTGTTTATGGAATCAACACACCATGTTCTGTGGGAAAAAAGAAAACCTTCTGCTCCCTTCACTCTGCTGGAAGCTGAAGAGTGCTAGGCCCCTGTGTAGTAGTGCATAGAATCTAGCTTTTTTCCTTCTTTCTCTGTATATTGGGCTCAGAGATTACACTGTGTCTCTATGTGAATATGGACAGTTAGCATTTACCAACATGTATCTGTCTACTTTCTCTTGTTTAAAAAAAAGAAAAAAAACTTACAAAAAAAATGGGGTTATAGAAGGTCAGCTGGGGTGGGTTTCAGATGTTTGGGTGGGTTAAGTGGGCATTTTGACAACATGGCTTCTTCTCCTTTGGCATGTTTAATTGTGATGTTTAACAAACATCCTTGCAGTTTAAGATGACACTTTTAAAATAAAATCTTATCCTAATGATGATGACTTTGAGCCCTGCCACTTGATGGGGAATCAGCAGAACCTGTAGAATCTTATTTGGAATTGACATTCTCTATTGTAATTTTGTTCTTGTTTATTTTTAAATTCTTTTTTTTTTTGTTTCACTGGAAAGGAAAGAAAGATGCTCAGTTTTAAACGTTAAAGTGTACAAGTTGCTTTGTTACAATAAAACTAAATGTGTACACAAAGGGACTGGTTCGTCTTCACTGAAAGAAACACTTGTAATACTCTGTTTTGAACTTGCTTGTAGTTTCTTGGCATTTCTGGGGGCATTTGGTTAGCATTTATGTAATGCAATGCAACCTTGTGGTTGTGTGGACTGGTAAATCAGTTCATTTAGTTTCCATTATCTCAGTACTTGTAAAATGCTTCATTTGGTAGTCACTACTGCACACTCCATTTCTTGAATTACCTTGACTGTAAGGCAGGGCAGTAGGTGCATATGCCTTGTGTGAAGACAGAGGTTTATATTCATGTTTTGCAAAAAAGGAAAATCACTTGATTCTTAGATATTTTTTTAAATAGTAACTTGCAGTACTGTATCTCCAGTAAATCAGTTTGCATGCAAAATCATGCAAGCTCAGAATAAAAAGACCAAGAGGAATTACAATAAGATTTGGGTGTTTTTGTAAGTCTTTTCAGTTGACAATAAATCTTAAATGCAAGCTAATTTGGGAGCTATTTCAAAGAGCAGGATTCTTAGCAAAGCTCATGTGTATATAAAGTTGCTACTTCACTGCTTTCTTTCCTTGGTAGCAGCGTGTATATGTGCTTTAGATGGACTGTACTCTCATTTTAAGAGACTGCATTTGAGTAGCTTGTAACAATTTCACATAAAGGTTGTTGGTACTGATATTCCACAAAGTGTAATGAAAGTTGTTTTAACATGCTGTGCTTTTGAAATATTTAAAAAAATGTTGTATCAGCTAATCTAAAATGCAAACAGCCAGTTCTCTTTGGATGTGTAGAGAAGACTGTCTTCTGGGAAGACTTGCTGTTATGTTCTGATTCTTTTTCCCCGCTGAATTTTCGATAGTCAAATTCAGCTTTTTTTGATCCTTAAGAATACACTTGGCAGAACAAGACTAATATCTGAGACGTGCCCAAATAATGTGTAGGGGGAAACATTCTGTAAGTGTCTGGTCCAGTTATCAGAGATGACACAAGGTCCAGTCTGCATAGAATCAATGCAAAAATAAGGCAACCTTTTACTTTATTCCATCTCAACAAAAGCTTCTGCCCTGACCCTGCTTGCAGAGGAAAGTAGAATGTTAATGGGTAATGGTTTCTTACCGTCTAGACAGAAAGAACAGAACTTACGAAGTCTATAAATTTTAGATTCTTTTTCATTTGATTCCTTTGATATAAGATTGAAAACTGCTTCCTGTTGTGGTAGAGGGTTGATGTGCTCTTACTTGCCCTGATGCCTCATTACTTGATTTTTATGTAGTCCTAATTGATTGTAGTTCTTCACGGAAAAATTTTTCCTAGTCTTTTAATGCTTTAGGAAAAATACCGTGCTATTGTTACACCCCTGTTGGCTACTAGCAGAAAACCTATAAAAGCTGTTTTGAAAGTAATCAAAGCTTCAGGTTCTGTAAAGTCAAATAACCATGAACAAGAAATGAGAGTCTGGATAATGAAAGGCTGCTTCTGGGATTTTTCTTGCACATTCTTTAGTATTTTACAGGGTGTCAAAACACTCTCTTGCTACTGTACTGATAATACTGAATTTCCTGTGAAAATCAAGGTTTTTACTCCTGGTAATGGTTAAAAAGTAAACTAGCGAAGGAATAAACCGTATTTGTCAAGTGGGGTTTTTTTTTCCTAGCAATGGAAATGAGTAGGAATGAACACATCTCTCTGCAACACTGAAGAAATACTACAGATGGCCATCATGTGCTCTGACTGTTCACTTAATGTCTAATTTGGCTGAATATGTGTAATGGGTGTCTATTTTTTTTACTTGATATGATTTGTATATGCATATAAAGAGCATTTTGAGGTAGATGTCCACCTTGGATAAGAATGGGAGATTAATTCTTATTTAAACATGTCTGTAACTGTCATTAATTCCCCACTGTTGCTTGAGCTTCTCACATCCAGTGAGTCCTGCCAAGTGAAATTTGTCACAGGTGGAAGCTGAATTCAGGCTTTGTGGCCTGAATTTCCAGGGTTAGAATATAGAGTTGGCAGCAGTTTAATAAAGGTGACGCTAAAGTGCTGGTGCTGTATGACTTAAAGGTTATTTTTATTTTAAGTTTGAAGTTTGATTGCTATAAAATGGAAACTATAATTTTTAGTGCCAAAGGAAAGCAAATACATCCATGTGTGTGTAAATACAATTAGAAAGGTTTGGGTTTTTTTAAAACAGATTATCTGTGTGCTTGTAAACAAATATCTGAATCAATTTCTCAGTCATTTATGCCATTCATTTGAATCTGTAAGCTTCTCTTTGTACCATGCTCTAAAACAGGTGCATAACGATAGTACTTGGTTTATTGGATACTGTTGAAGCCATGCTTTTTTTTTTTAAGAGACTGAAATCAATGAAGTAATTTCTCTGTTGTACCTTCAAGTTATCCTTCTGTTTGAAGGAATTAAAGTACATTTAACTGTTACTTCACGTTACTATTTCTAAGAGTCTTTGTCAAAAGAATCAGTTCTTAGTCCCAAACTTGGCATCACCTTTCACGGGTGAGGTTGATAGTCCTCACTGCGGTAGGAGTGCCAGGAGGCCACTCTGGAACAAGACGCTTGCTTCCTTTGGGGAACAGATTTAAGATTAATCTCTTGCCCTCTCTCTCTTGGATTAAAAATGGAAACTTTAAAAGACTTTTTCCTCTTGATCATTACCTTCTCTGATCATCCTTTCCCTGCGCATTTTCCTCATTGCTTTCAGCGCTCGCACACCCGCAGGCAAAACGGCGAGGCCGCCGGGCGAGAGGCTTTCCCGGAGCTGCAGTTGGGCGGCGAGGCGGTACCGCACACGCCGCTTCTCCTCGGGTTTAGCAGAGGACAGGGGCTGCGGGGGTTG